AAAAAAGGGGAAAACAAGCCCAAGCACGAATTATATTTAGAAGAAATGGTACAATAGCTTATTAAACACTAATCCAAAAGCAAAATAATATTTGTTAATGATTAATCTTTATCTTGGCATCTGTACATGTTTGAGAAATTAGGTTGTTTATTTTGTTATTGAGAATAAATAAAATTGTGATATTTTGTTTTAACTGGTCAGTGTTTTGTTGTGTTTAAATTCGCATTTTCTTTTTAAATCAAAGTAAATAAGAAGAATTTCAAATAAGACATTTTTAAAAAGATGTCCTTGATCATTTTTCACTATATGATTTTTTTATAAGATGAAATTATAAACTTTTTTTCTCTTTCATAAAAAAATATTAAAGTTTTTGCATGGCTTTTGTATTATTCCTGCACTCACTCATTTTCAAAACATTCATGAGCTGTTTATGTATTACTTTCACGCAGGACTTGTTGTTGGCTTGATCATCAGGAGTGTCGACACGCTTACAGAGGTAGAAAAAAACTACCTCGGCTTTCCAGGATAAATACTCATGCAGATGCTTCAGTTCATTACTGTTCCTCTTATTGTGACCTCTGTGATAATAGGTAAGATAGTGGATCATTTATCACCAAATTAACTGATATATTCTGGATATCTAAAGTGCTCTGCAGACGTCTTGAGCCACATCTCATTTTTCAGATATAGTTTCCAAGGAGCCAGACTTGCTTGTAATTTTAAAGTGGTCTTGAGCAGTAGTTCTCCCTGCTTTCGGAGGATTTCTTTGGACATTGGTGGCTTTTTCACTCATTTTCAGTCCAGTGATCAGTACTATTTTCAGAGGAATGCTTTTTTGTTTGCTCAGCCACACAAACACTGTATAACACACACACACACACACACACATATATATATATACATATATATGAGAAACAGTCCTGGCCCTTCAGCTGAGCTATCTAGTTTCTAAAGTCTCAGTGGAAAGGTGGATGTCAAGAAGCTGCCTTTTGTTAAGCAAGAGAAATGAATGAATTCAAATTTGATATTTTTGTCTCAAATTGTGTCAATGTGTATGGAGGAGGTCAGAAGAGAGGTACAACAGTCAGTATCTGCAGCATGGTGGAGGCTCTGTCACAGTTTTCAGCTGCTTTTTAG